TTGACCTGTTCTACCTTTTTCCCTCATTTGTTGTACACAGTTCCTTGCCTAAGTTGTTACTGTTCAGGTTGGCATACTGTTTCACTATGACATTCTCTGCAGATGGACACATTTCCTGTTTTCCCTTGAGATCTTCCTCTGAATATGTGGATAACAGGAGATGCCAATCAACAGCTGTTAGTTTTGTTTGTGTGTCTCCAACCTTTTCCTTGCCCTGATGCCAAGGTCAGTTGTTCATCTGAGACCACACCTCCTGAGATTATCTTATACTGATTATGAATATTCCCAATAGGGAGCCAATTATCTTACTGGTGACTATATTGGTTTTTGTCATAAAATTTCAAAGAGCACAATTGTGTATGTATAGATTGCAAGCTATTCCTTTGTGTACCCCATTTCCAAATTTGTATGCGGAGTCAGTCAGGGGGAGGGGATATTGAGCAGGACCACAGATTGTGCAAGATTTATAAATGGACTTCTTGGTGTAAGTAGGACTGATGCTATCTGACCTAATAGATATCCAGTAGCCAATAACGTATAGCATGTGTGAATTTCAACCTTGCCTGGTGCAGTTGTTTAAATGTGTCAAAAATAATTGTTATAGAGTCATACGGCATGGAAACAGAACCTTCGGTCCAACTAGTCCATGCCGACCATGCTCCCAAACTAAACTAGTCCCACTTGCCTGCATTTGGCCCATATCTTTTAAACGTTGTAACTTGCACCTGCACCTGATAGTTCATTCCACACATGAACCATTCTGTTTTTTTTAAAGAAAAGCCCCTCATGTCCTCTTTAAATCTTTCTCCGCTCACCTTAGAACTATGCCCCACCCTGGGGAAAAGACCCTCGCTATTCATCTTATCTATGTCTGTCATGATTTTATAAACTTCAACAAGTCACCCCTCAACTTTCTACCCTCCAGTGGGGAACAAAAAGGGCCCAGCCTATTTTTATAACTCAAACCCTGCAGTCCCTGCAACATCCTGGGAAATCTTTTCTGAACCCTCTCCAATTTAATAATATCCGTTTTCTATTTTGGAAATACGTGCAAAATAGGAGAATTAAAACAAAATCTAATAGAAATTTTGGTCATATCTGCCTTCAGATTCCTTAATGTTCATTATCTGTTGTAATATGATAGTATTTTCAGTAATGAAGATCAAAGTTCTGGAGTGTAACATGACAGGCAGAGGTCCACAGGTAAATATAAGCTGTCTGTCATACATCTGCAGGTGTTAGAAAACAATAATGCAGATTTCACATGTCATGAAGTGCACTTGAAGGACAGTATACACTTTGTTTGCATATGGGCTGCTGTATGCCTTAGGGATTTGGGTCTAATTGAACCTAATGTTATATAGGAGGGAAAAATATTGTTAAAAGTATTGCCCAACTTGTTTCACTGTTGTTGGCTGAATTTAAAGGAACAGATTTGGCAAGTTTTATTGCCTTTGAAGTTAGAGGTAGTTTGGATGTGATGAATTTGAAAAATGGCAAGACTGGATTTTCGTATCACTCTCTCTTGTTTGTGCTTTTTATAAAATTGACATTTGTGGCCAAAGGATGAGTAACTCTGAGTTTGTTTAAATTTACTACATCTATCTGATTGAAATGATGTCCAAAATGTACAGTATGCTGTAAAATGCATAGCATCTGACAGGAGAAGAATTGATGTTTCATGCGGAACTTCTTCATCAAACTACTCTTGATTGAGGATTGCATCTGAATTTATCTTGATGCTTTTTCTTACTATGCATTTTCACCACAATATTTGAGGTTGATATTTCAACTTCTGAGTTGAGGTTACGATTCCGTACTGGACACATCATCCATGAATGATCTGGATATTGGAACCATTTGTTCTTGTGCTCCAGGGCAAGTCTCATTTTCTTTCATCTTTCTATTGCCATGCAATGGTTAAGGCTGGCTACACTCCTCCATTTAAAATGATAGTTTAAGATATGTCTCTGCAGATTAGGGGAGGCGATGGCCTAGTTTTATTATCGCTGGACTGTTAATCCAGAGACGCTTGACAATGTTCAAGGGATAACCAGGCGTAGAGCTGGATGAACACAGCAGGCCAAGCAGCATCAGAGGAGCAGGAAAGCTGACGTTTCGGGCCTAGAAGGGTCCTGCTCCTCTGATGCTGCTTGGCCTGCTGTGTTCATCCAGCTCTACACCTTGTTATCTCAGATTCTCCAGCATCTGCAGTTCCTACTATCTCTGAAACAATGTTCAAGGGACCCTGGTTCGAATCACACCATGGCAGATGGTGGAATTTGAAATCAATAAATATCTGGAATTAACAATTTTATGAATCCATTGTCAATTGTCGGAAAAACCCATCTGGTTAGCGAAGGAAACTGCCATCCTTACCTGATCTGGCCTACATGTGACTCCAGATGCACAGCAATGTGGTTGACTCTTAACTGCCCTCTGGGCAATTAGGAATGGAAAATAAATGCTGCCTAACCAGCAATGCCCTCATTCTTGAATGAATAAAGAAAAAAAATTAAAGGATCAGGGATGCTGCTCCTTTGACAAGTATATCTTTAATTTGTTGTCAATATCTGGTGGCATTTATGCTCATTCCTAGTTGCGCTGAGAATGTGGTTGTGGGCCCTTTTTGAACTCCTGCAGGGGTGGTTGTTTTGACTCAAGTGAGAAATTTGCTAGGCCAGTTCAGAGGGCACTTAAGAGATAAAATATTGGAAATTCTCGTGTCAGGCAGCATCTGTGCAGAGGGAAACAGAGTTAATGTTTCAGACTTGTGACCTTTCATAAGAACTCTATCTCTTAATAGGCCACAAACCTGAACATTAGTTTTTTTTTCTGCTTTTGTTGTAGATTTTCAACATTCACAGTATTTTTAGTTTGTAAGAGCCAACCAACTTGGCACATGGAAAGAAGGTCTGACATTTATATAACATTGTTCACAACTGGCTGATGTGCCAAAGTATTTTAGTCACTTATAGGTCAGACTAGATATTAATGTCAACTTCCCAGAGGATGTTGATAAGCCAGTTAGTAATCTATGACAATCTGACAATAAAAGTGGTGTGAAACTGTGTTTAGATTGGTTCAACATCCAGAACTGAATAAGCAGAAATTTCCTCCAGTTAAAATGGAGGACATTGATGTCATTGCCTTAAAATCCAGTCATAATGTTTTACATCTGAACTACTGGTTCCATATCCCTTTCCTGGTCACTGTTTTGAGGCTGAGTCAGACTGCTCCGAACCTTGATATCTTACTTAACTACAGAGTGAGCTTTTGAACCCATATTCTTCTCGTACCCACGACCTACTACCCATTTTCAACCTTTTGCCATACCTCCTCGTTCCACTTCTGCTGAAACCACGACAGTATTGTTAAGAGTGACTATCGCACAGTCCTTGTGGAGATGAAGTCCTGCCTTCACGTTTGAGAATGGCCTCCTTCATGTTGTGTGGCACTATCCCCATGCTAAATGGAACAGACTTCGACAGATCTAGCAACTCAAGACTGGGTGAGGCGCTGTGGGCCATTTTCAGGATTGAGTTTTATTCGAGATTGGTGGAGTCACCTTTTTATTCATTATTTCTCACAGTAAACACCATTTGCACACTTTGCCCACTAGTTTGACCTAGCATATCCTACTCAAGTTCCCTTGTGTCCTCTTCACAACTTACTTTGATACCTATCTTAGATGTGAAGCTTACTGATAATACTATTACTTCCATCCTTTGATCCAAGGCATTTGTGTAAACTGTAACTAGGTCCCAGCAATGATCCCAATGGTACATCACTCATTATACCTTAGTAAACTGTAAAAGGCTCATTTCTGCCTGCTGTCTGCATTCTGTTCGCCAATCTTCTAGCTGCACCAGCATGCTTCTCCCTACATAATGAGTTTTCATGTTCCACAATAACCTGTGATGTTGCACCTTTATCAAGTGCCATATGGAAATTTAACTATGGTACATTCACCAGTTCCCCTTTATCCATATCATGTGTGGAGAATTATTAGAATTCTAATAGGTTGGTTAAGCACTATTTCCCTTTCACAAAATCGTGGTGACTCTGCCTGCGTACCTTAAACTTATCCAAGTGCCGTGCTATAATGCTTTAAATAATAGCTTCTAACATTTTCCCTATGACACATGTTAAGATAACTGGCCTGGTAGCAAGATGTCCTTACTTCTGTAGTCAAATCCCTTTGCAATGAAGGCCAAATTCTGGCTTCAAATTCTTCAATTCTGGTCCCTT